TGGATTGGATTGTGAGGAATGATGAAAAACAAAACCGAAAACCAGGAGAAATGCCAGTGAAAAAAGAGAACAGGCTGAAAGGGAAAGGACTTTCGAGCTACAACGGATCAGCGCCGGCAAAGACGGGGGCCGCAGAAAGGGAAGGAGAAGATGCAAGAGACAAGGACAGCCAACAACCAAGCCTATCCCCGTGATGAACGATTTTATTTCGCGTGCACTCCAGGGGAAAAAATGGCAGCGTTTCCCTACTATGTCGTCCGTGTATCTAAGAATATATAGCAAGCTCTCGCGCATGACCGATTTCACCGGTAAAGCGAGGAACAACACAGGGAATAATACCTAAGCAGAAAAATGAATGCGCTTCATCAAAACACCACGTGCCCGAGGCTTCACTCTCAGCTTACCTATCGCTGCAAGCGTCCATGGCTGGTCCAAGGGAAGATGCGCGGCTATAAGTTGCTTACTGATCATCATGTCAAAGCTAGAGTGCACCGCGTCGCGTATAGCAGGAGACGTAAGCCGACGGAAGAGGAAACGGAGCAAGGAAGCACCTTTAGAAAACGCACGAAGAAAACTGAAAATGTGGAAAAGAGAGACGGAGAGGGCGAGTGTTAAAAATGGGTTGGACACCCTTGCAGGTGACTGACCGCCACGGCAAATTAATTAAAAACATTTTGATCGCCATCTGGTCTGGAGATCAGAGCTCCAAGCAGGAACAATGTTCCAGGACCCCAAGTCGGATGGCGGTTCCCACCGCACCTACGCACGCACTTATCCCTTGCTCTTCCCACTCGATCGCCTACGAGTGGGCAAGATTCTCTCGAAGCTTGCGAGGTGTGTGAATGGGTGTGGTGTGTATGTATGTAGCCATTTGCGAGCTCAGGCGATGACGAGGCCGATCCGAGCTGCCCACCTCTTTGACTTTCCGAGGGGCGGGAGAAAGTGCCACAATCTCAAACAAAGACCGTGACCAATGGACTACATACTTGCATTTCAAGTATTATATCTATGAGTCTGGACTTATGTGTGTGATTATTGCTTGCCAAGCGATCTTGGATTTCAGGATGATCATCCGACGACAAAGGATATGGTGACATCGCGATATCACCTTTTTTTAGAATAAATGATTGAAATTGGTACATGTCCCCACCCACCCGACAATGTCGCTATGAATATGGTAGATATTCAAATGATTTTATAATCAGTACTGACAAAGGCTTCTCTTTCGCTTTACAGGTAAAATCGAGTGTTATGACCTACGTAAGCCGGAAGAGCCTCAGGCATCCCCCCTCAACGGTTGCCGTCTTCTTCCTTGCTGCGCTTTTATCGCTCATGCTCGTCCAATTCCAAGCGTTTGTTGTGCAGATTCCAACGCCACCCGCCAAACGGGAGGTGAAGCCTCATAGCCTTGCGACCCCGCCGTCCGTACCCACTTCGCCCCCTGCCCTTCTCAAAATGGCAGACGCGGGCCGACGGGTCCTTTCCCCCCCCC